AGGTGATGGTGCCTTTTGTAATCCTGTTGGCTGCTGTGCCCACAGCCCCCGTGGCATACATCGTGGCCTTTGTGTCTGGCGTGAGCATTGCTTTGTCCTTGCTGCTACCCTGGTAGGCTGCGCGAGGGGAAGGGAACGTGGGAGCTTCATGTCCTTCCTGATGCGTCTGCCCTCCTTCATGTCAACCTGGTGCCCGGCCCCTCATGCCCAGCCTGTGCTGGGGAGCCACTCTCCCACTGGCAGGGATGGAGGCCACCCGCTCCGTCCTGGGAGCCCTCCTAAAAGAGCACCAGCAGCAGGCATGGTGGGCAGCCAGGGGTGGGGGTGTAGAGGTGCGGGTGGAATGCCAACACACAGTGCCTGGCTCTCTGTGGTCCAGTCCTGGCCCTGGGTAGTGAGGACTCAGGGATGACCCTGACTTGGTCTCTGCCCCCAGAGAGCTTGCAGGCTGGTGGCTGTCCAGGGGGGTCAGGGGGATAACTCTGCAGCCCCCTCCCCCAGGTCCATGCTCCCAGACGTGGTGGATGACTTCCAGCTGCAGCACCAGCACGGCCCCGGCATAGAGACCATCTTCTACTCGTCCTACGTCTTCTTCACTAAGCTCTCGGGCGCAGGGGCCCTGGGCATCTCCACGCTCAGTCTTGAGTGAGTCCCAGAGCTGGGCTGTGGCGGAGGCACAAAAGACCAGCTGGGTGGGAGGAGGGCAGAGTCCCCCACCCCAGCCAGCCCGGGGACCGGGGACTGAGCTCTGCTCTTTGGAAAGTGCGGGGCAGACACCTCCTCAGCTGGCTCTGGGAATGTGACTGAAAGTGCCTTTCTTGAGGGCCATAGCCTCAGCCCGCCACATTCTCACTTCTCTCTGAACTCCTTCCTGACCAGCCCATTCCCTCAACACTCCCTTCCAGCCTGGCTAGGCTGATCTGGCCAGGAAATGAATCCAAGTTTCAGGAGAGTGTGGAGGTGGGGGATCTGGGACCCCTCCCCCAGGGAGCCAGGCTCGGGAGGGTCTGGGCTGGATGATGGGATGGTGTTTCTCCAGGTTTGCGGGGTATGAGGCAGGAGCCTGCAAGCAAGCAGAGCAGGTGGTGGTGACCCTCAAGGTCCTCATCGGTGCTGTGCCCACCTGCATGATCCTCACCGGTCTTTGCATCCTCATGGTGGGTCCTGGTCCAAAGGTGCCAAGCCAGGACTCCTCTCACCAGCTGAGCCTTCGAAGGTGGGCACCCCATGCACACGGGTACACACAGACAGCTACCAGCACCCCCGGAGGCACATAGAAGTGTGCCGATGTGAGACCAACCAGGCTGCAGGTCCCCCGGCGGTGCTTACACCACTGAACAATCCTGCCTTTGGAGACTCTGCCTTAGCTTCAGTGACGCCATCTAAATTTTCTTCTGCTGCTCAGTCTCCCTCCTTGATAACCAGTAGGATGGTGGTATGGGAGGGCTCCCTTGTTCACCCCTATTCCTTCTGCTCTCCATAATCCCGGGCACCTCTTCCACTTGCTTGACCCCGAGCACCTCTTGTGCTTGCTGTCCTCCTGCCAACCCTACCACCCCACTCCCATACTGCCTTCAAGTTCCAGATCCACACCTCTGGCTCTCATTTGGATATCTCCACCTGACGTCCCACAACCATGGCAGTCAGTCTTAATGATCCCCCAAAGGAATTCATGGTCTTGTCCCAGTCAGCTCCACCACCCTCCTGTCTGGGAGCCGAAACCCGGAGATGGATGATCATCTTCCACTCCTCCCCCGACAGGCTGTGCTGAGAGCTCTCTGAGCCTTGCCCTTCCCCCTCCCAGAGCACTGGTTCCACTGCAGAGTCGGATCTGCTCACTGTCCGGCTTTCCCCGTAGACTGTGGAGACCTTGAGGCTATGTCTTTGTGTTTATTCATTTTTATGTCCTAAGAGCCTAGCACAGTGCCCGAGACCAAGCAGGTGCTGCAGTATCAACATGGTGCTGCAGACTTTCATGAGCACGTGTCCACATCTTTGCAGATGCTCATGCACTCACATGTACACACAGAGGACCACACAGGGGAGACAGGAAGTGACATCATCCATCCCTCATCCCTCAGCATGGCTGGTCTCAAGACTCCAGTCAAGTAATACTGACCTCATGTGCTACACTCAGGGAGTGACACACAGCTGCTTGATGGGACTTGGGGAAACAGGCTTGTGGCTTTGTTCACGCAGGGTTGGGGGTGTGTGTGAGGGGAGGAGTTGCTAGGAAGACAAGGAACAGCCACTGACACCTCCACGGGGCCTGGCAGGGCAGAGACCCCACCCTCCCTCATCCTCTTGGGCTTCTTCCCTTCCCGCAGGAGGACCAGCTACAGCCTCGCTGCAAGTTAAAGCTTCGTGAGCCCAACAGCAGGAGCCCGCATCGTCTGGGCTCGAAGTCCCCCTCTCTTCTCAGCCGTTTAGAACCCCCACTTCGCAGCGTGCACGTGACCTTTTCCCTGGGATATGGAGCCTTCAGTGACCTCTCCAGAAGGGACTGGGCCTGGGTTCCACCTGTCTTTTTCTTACCTGTTGACCACAGACCATTTCAGATAAACCTGTGCCCCTGACTACCTGGCTCCAGGTGACGTTTGACCTGGAAAGCATCCCAATAGCAGCTTGTCCTGAAAAAAAGGAAGCCTCGGCCAGCCTGGCCTGCAGACTCCCCAACAACCTGCTGCCTGACAGGACAGACACACAGACAGACCCTTTGTTCTTCCTGATGCCACAGTGGACATCTGAGAGACTGACAGACGTCACATGAATGGGCAGAGTGGGGACAGATGGGCAGGCTGGGGGTGTTGTTAGGACAGACAGATGCAGGGCGGCCAGCAGACCCCAGGGGGAGAGAAGGGGACAGCAGTGGGGATGAGAAGGCGGAGCAGGGCACGGGGTGTTCTCGAACCTCTCTCTCTGTCAGGTTGATGACTGTTCCCAGAGGTGGGCACAGACTGTCCAGCCACCAGAGATGGATCATTTTCATGAACAGTCGTTATTTTTGTGGGAATATTTTTTTCTGAACTTTTATAAAAAGTACAGGAACCACCATTTTCTAGAAGCCGTATCTTTGGAAACGATCCACTGAGGTTTATTTTTTTCAAAAAACAAAAAAACCACATTAAAAGGTTTGTCTTCTACTGAGTCAGTAAAGTGTGATGGTGGACGGCCCTCCATCATCCCTCGGCCCAGGGCTAGGCTCCCTTCCACTTCCTCTTCGGGCCTTTGGCGGCCTCTTAGGTGAGAGACCCCGTAGGCTGCCAGAACTCAGACTCACGCACAGAGATGCTCGTCTGAGCTCGGTTTAAGCCTCTGGCTTCCTCCACAGAGAGGGAGCTGACCTCCCAGTGAGAGCGCAGAATGTTAACAGTATTACATATGTCCTTATTTTCCCCCATCGACCCCCTCCAGCCCATCCCCGTGCCCCCCCCCCTTACCACCCCTGTCTGCGTCCATGGGTTATGCATATATGCATACAAGGTCTTTGGTTGATTACCTCCCACCCACCCACCCTCCCCCACCTTCCCTCCAAGATTCCGTACTCTGTTCCATGCTTCCATGTCTCTGGATCCATTCGGTTCATCAGTTTATTTTGTTAATTAGATTCCATATGAATGAGATCATGTGATACTTGTCTTTCTCTGACTTATTTCACTTAGCATAATACTCTTCAGGTCCCTCCACACTGTCTCAAAGGGTAAGAGATTCTTCTTTTTTTACTGCTGCATAGTATTCCAGACGGTATAAATGAACCTCAACTTTTTTATCCACTCATCTACTAATGACGTGCCACATTTTATATCACCTACATTTCCCAGGGTGCAGTCTCAAGGAGCAGCTATACAGCAGCAGGGAACAGCTCTGGGGGTCAGGGGTTAGATCTCAGAGATAGGGCCATCGTGGGCTGGCCAAAAGGTATCCTACCGTTTCTCCCTCACAGCCACCCTATGAAGCGGGAACTAGTGTTCTCTTATTCAGATGAGGAAACAGGCTTAGAGAGCTTAAGCCAGTGATTCCCAAAGTGGGCGCTACCGCCCCCTGGTGGGCGCTGCAGCAATCCAGGGGGGCGGTGATGGCCACAGGTGCATTTGGGGGCGATGAGTAACTGCTATTAAAATTTTAAAAAAATTAATTTCCAGGGGCTGAGTAATATTTTTTCTGGAAAGGGGGCGGTAGGCCAAATAAGCTTGGGAACCACTGGCTTAAGCCACTTGTCTAAGGCGGTGGTAGAGATGGTCTTGAACCTAATATAGTTCTTAAATTAGGTGGTTGGTGGTTCATTTTATTATTAAGCCTTCCTATAATTTATATCTATCACATGTATCAAATATCCAAATTTTAGAAAAATTTGGGCACAAAATGGGATTTGTAAATGACTTTCCTTATGTAAAATATTCTCAATATAACATTAAACAATTTATTTTATTTTTAAAATATATTTTTATTGATTTTAGAGAGGGAGAGGGAGATAGAAACATTAATGATGAGAGAGAATCATTGATTGGCTACCTCCTGCATGATTGGAGATCAAGCCGGCAACCTGAGCATGTGCCCTGACCAGGAATCGAACGGGACCTCCTGGTTCATAGATCGATGCCCAACCACTGAGCCACTGCGGTCAGGCTAAATAATTTAAAGAAATTAGCTCTTCTCTCCCTGTCTCCAAAAGCAGCAAATGCTGGATTATCTTCTATTGTTCCAATGACTATAATAATAGCAGAGGCAAAGGAAATATATTTTGTATGAGAGTTGTCATGGAATCAGATTTGTTGTGAAGAACTAAAGAATTTATATTCGGAACTATCTGAGCTAGAAATATTCTGTGGCAAGTATAATGGGGAAACTGAGACAGAAAGCTGAACAAACTGGTCCCAACAAGATAATAAATCACAAGGTCTTATCTTCCCTAACCAGGGACACTTAGGAGCAAATGGTTTAAACATTCCAGACCACTTAGGGGCAGACCCCATGCTGTCCGGGTCCCTCTTTGGTGACATTCTTTGAGGGTGAAACGGACAAGAGAATGACTCTGATTAATCAGCATATTAAAGGACACACCTGCAAAGCTGAATATTCTATTGAGATCCTCCTGAGACCTCTGCCAAAATCCCCTTTAGAAACAGGTTAAGAATCCCTAAGACAAGCCAGTGCGGGCTCTCTCTGGAGCACACACTTGCCTTTCTTCCCTCTGAGGTGTGCATCTTTACTTTTCTCTCCCAAACTCTAACGGTCTCCACGAGCCTTGCAACCAGGGGAGCAGCAGGCAGTGGCAGCTTGTCCCAGGCTAACCCCCTGAACCTGTGTCCAAGACCCCTTTACGCTGATAGCATCCCCATCTCAGCTCACTTCTGCCACTGGGGCTTTCACTTCTCAGTGAGTCCACACAGCCCAGCGTGGCCCACTTCTTTCCCATAATGTTTCTAAGGAGCCAGAGCAGAGCACTGCCTAGGCTCCCTTCTGCTGCTGCTTCTATCCTAGGCTCTTTCTTTGTTTCACTGTCCCCAACTGTAATACATCTACTCTCAAAATCACCTGAACTCTTACTGTGAAATCCTTCCTGCACGAAGTCAAGAACCCACACACTACCAGCCGCCCAAGGCAGACCTGCTCCGGGCCATGTTCCTTTCTGGTGACGTGTCCACCAGAGGAAGAAATACACACAACATACACATACATAAAATCAAGAATATTTCTGTATAACAGCAATGATCACAAAGAAAATACCATCAAAACATTCACAACAGCTGCATCAACCATGAGTGATTTTATTGAAGATTGACCAGTGAAACGCTGACTGTAACATACACCTTGAGGCACCTACCTTGAACTTACTATGGGGTCCCCCAACCCCCTCGTTAGGCTTCACAGTCTGTGCTTTCATCCCACCCAGAAAATGGAGCCAGGCCTCAGACTGTCCTCAGGCATTGCTCTCAGGCAACTGAGTACAGACAAGTGGCCTCCTCTTCCATTATCCCACCAGCTCTCTAATGCATCTGAACCACAAAATGGGCCCTTGCTTCTTTCCTATCCCAGCTCCATCTTCATAAACTGTAACAGACAGGAGTCCCCAAGGGTGCAAAATATTTCTTTCCAGATAATTTTAAAGGCAATGGAAAAAAATGACCATGTGCTAATGGAGCTTCTATGGCTGAAACAAGGGTCTGCAGATGTGATGACTAGCCACACAGACCGACTGGTTATGCTGCAGTAAATGAAATTTATAACGTGCTCGAAGGCAGTAAGAAATGCTGTGTTTATCTAGAGTTGGGCTCAGGGCTCTTTCCACTATACTAAGCTGGCCCTTTAGCCCTTATTTATAACTGGTACTTTTTAGGGCTTATCCCAGATTCAGTGAAATTTCCAACTTTCTGAAATATTTTCTCTCACAGACTCTATGCTAGTCTCTAAAACTTGACTAAAGGAAAAGAAAAACACCAAAATTAAAGTTACAATTTAAGCCCTAACCAGTTTGGCTCAGTGGATAGAGCATCGGCCTGCGGACTGAAGGGTCCCAGGTTCGATTCCGGTCAAGGGCATGTACCTTGGTTGCAGGCACATCCCCAGTAAGGGGTATGCACGAGGCAGCTGATCGATGTTTCTAACTATCCCTCTCCCTTCCTCTCTGTAAAAAAATCAATAAAATATATATTTTTAAAAAAATAAATAAATAAAGTTACAATTTAAGAGCTGAGGCCGACAGCAGGAGAGGATTTTCCTGGAAGGCTTACTGCTAGAATCTCTAGTGGTTCCAGGCGACCTGCAGCTTCCCCCGAGTCAGAGGGCCCAGTTCTCCTTCAGAGAGCAAAAAAAAACAAAAACTCAAGGAGCATCTGTTAAAAAGAAAAACTCTTTTGCATACAAACAGGAAAATCAGAAATTCTCCAGTAGAAACGAGGGAATGATGGCATCTGAGGGTCTGGTCCAAGAAGAGACAAAAGTCCTGAAACTTAAGACAAAAATGGCTGATAAAGAAAATGTCCATAGACCTACAAGGAGCAAAAATAATGTAACAATGGGAAAAAATTGTATTCCGTTAAAACCTTCTAATGAATTAACCAATTCAACTATAGCCACTGATATATATAACTTGGAGAATAATAATCAAACTCTGCAGTTGTTACCAATTACAAATGATCGCCAAGGTCAACATATGACATTAAGCCAAGCGTTTCACATTAAAAACAATAATAAAAAGAAACAAGTGACTACAGAAAAGCCAAAGCAAGATGCTAACGTGCTCAAGAAACCTGTGCTTGGATCTTATCGTGGCCACACTGTTCAATCTAAGGTTCATTCATTTAGAAAGCCTGTACAAGTCAAAGATGAGCATTCTGCAATAACAAAGAAACTTTCAACTCCTATCTCTAAGGCCGCAAAACCTCAGCCTATCAACACCAGCAGTGTAACAGCAAAAAGTCACAGAGCCTCAAAGATGATGACTACGACTACATTTGTGAGGGTTACATCTCAGAATGAACAACTTTTATGTCCTCCTATTAGAAGTCACCACAGTAATACTCATAATACCCAGGAAACAAGGCATTGCCAATGTTACATTCGGAAAGGGTCTCATGAGAAAGAATTACTACAATTAAATACAGTTTTATCTAGTGTCAACACCATTTCTTCTCAGGAAGTAAAAAGAAATAAGACAGTATCAAGAAGCATCACATCTGAAATGATAGCCAGACCTGCTTCATCTTCTAATATCAAACAGATAGAAAAGTAAAAAACCACTGAGTAGTGCAGACATACTACAGCAAAAGCAACTATCAATAGAAGGGCTCAGCCCAAAAAGAAAAAAAAAAAAAGGAGAAGGGCTCAGCCCAAAGAAACCGCAGAAGAAAGAAAAGCTCGTCTGAGTGGAGAGCTAGCAAAGGAAAAATGTTGAAAAGGCCTCCTAGCTCAGTAATAACCCAGCCTGAAGCTGAAGGACAGAATGAAAAACCAGTTGGGTCATTTTGGACTACCCTTGGAGAAGGAGAAGAACAAAGATTATTTACTGAAAAAGTAAACAAGACATTTTCTGAATGCCTAAACCTGATTAATGAGGGATGCCCCAAAGAAGAAGTATTAAACATACTGAATGACCTGATTAAAAATATTCCAGATGCCAAAACACTTGTTAAGTATTGGATATGCCTTGCACGTGTTGAACCACTCACAAGTTCTATTGAAAATATTATCTCAATCTTTGAGAAGGCCATTCTGGCAGGAGCTCAGCCTATTGAAGAAATGCGACATGCAATTGCAGATATTCTAACAATGAAGAGTCAAGAAAAAGTTAAATTTGGAGAAAATCTTGAGGAGGCTTGTGCAACCAAGGAAAAAATCCAAGAAGTCAACATTGAAGATATTGGTGTTAATCTAGAGTCAGGAAAACCTGAAATGGAAAATAAACATCATAGAAATGTGGTATTTCAAGATTGTAAAAAAGAGCAAGTACACAAAACAAAAGATCCAACCAATGATGTTAAAACCCCCAACACAGAAACTAGGGAGGGTTGCTTAATTAAATATAATGTGTCTACTACACCACGCCTTAGACCTCGCCTGTTCTTGGCATTGTACTAGTAACATCAGCACACACCCAAGAGGGGTCTAGAAGGGTCAAAGCACTGAAATGTCCTTTGACATCTGCCCAGGGCCAGTTTTTAGGAGGATCCGGACCTTCGTCAGCCAGAATTTTCTAGGGAAGCAATAGAGTTAGGTTTACATTCTGGGAGGTCCATCCTGTTCTAGGGAGCAGAGCGGGGGAGGGAGGTAGCAGTCAGTGGCTTTTTATCTTCCTTTGAGCTCTGTAGATTTCTGCTGGTTTGGGCTAAGAAGAATATGCTGGAGGATATGCACTCCTTATCCTCATCTTTAAGCCAAGAGAAAGATCTATCACAGTGCTGAGGTACCTTTTAAGTGCTTCTAAGAGAGCTTTAACACAGCTCTGGGCTGGGACAGAAAGCCTCAGAGAAACCATAAAACACAATCCACAGGGCACCATTACATTGTCTTGTTCTGGGAATTCCGCCTTCAGACAAAACCACACCTCATGAATACATAAGCAAGCACTTTCTGAGCCAGCTAACAAAGGCTGCGCTCCGAGCGTGAGCCTCATTCTGGGGAAGATGGAGAAGGGGCCGAGCCAACCAGGCAAGTGCTTCACCTGTGTGTGACAGTGTGAGAGGGGAGAGCCCACAGTGGAAAACAGATCTTGTTTGTAATGGTCTCATCTGAAAAGCTATGCAGCAAATACTCTACAAACAAGTATCAGCCTAGATGGTTGGAATAGCTGGTGGCATCTAAACGCTGGGCTGTATGTTCTCCGAAGACTTCAAGACAAGGACCAGAATCAAGACTCTGAGACAAAGAGTCTCTGAAGATGTTTGACCTGGAGCCGCCATCTCTTACGAGTATTTCCTGTTTGGCTGTAAAAGTTAATGGGATGAAGCCTTCACTATCAGCAGGGAGAAGGATCCAGCGGGAGTCTGCAAAGTAAAATGAACACATAGGCAATTTAGGATATTTCATCTTATTCCACAAGGAAAAACAACAAATATGACTTTTTTGGGGGAAGAATTCAGTAGCTGATAATATTAAACCTGATCATAAGACTTTAGAGAATGGGGAGATGGAAGGACTGTTACGGAGGGTCTGGTAATATGGCAGGAAGAGGATGTTGAGGACTTAGGCAGAGCTAAAGGACATACACTTTTCACTCTGGCTGGGCATTTATTACTCAGTGGTATGCATCTGGGCTTCTGCCTGCACACACGTTAGGGGTTGTGTGTGGAGTGTCCCTACCTTACCTACATGCTCTTAATCAGTTTCTCCAGAAAATATGCGAGGTTGGGAACAGCCACTCTTATGGAGGAACCTTCTCTACTCTTTAGATCCATACCAACCTCTGGACACCCAAGGAGGCAAAAATGACTAGAGCTAGACTAGAATGGCCCAGAAAATCCTGAATGGCTAGTTCCAGGATAGCCGAGGGCCATCAGCATGCCTGGACCTTCTCTGGCTCTTTCAAGTCTATGGTGTCTTAACCTTTTGACCTTGTAATTTCACTTCTGAAAATCTATACTTTACAAAAACAACACGTAAAATAGAGAGGTTTTCATTAATGTTATTTATAATGGGCCACCACTGGAACCCACCAAAATGTCAAAGAAAATATAGCAGCCCAGCTAGTGTTGCTCAGTGGTTGAGTGTCGACCTATGAGCCTGGAGGTCATAGTTCAATTCCCGGTCAGGGCACATGCCCAGGTTGCAGCCTCGATCCCCAGTGTGGGGCCGTGCAGGAAGCAGCCAATCAATGATTCTCTCTCATCACTGATGTTTTTCTCTCTCTCTCTCCGTTTCCCTTCCTCTCTGAAATCAATAAAAACATATTAAAAAAAGAAAAAAATATATATATAGTCCTAGCTGGTTTGGCTTAGTGGATAGAGCGTCAGCCTGCGGACTGAAGGCTCCCGGGTTCGATTCCAGTCAAGTGCCTAAGAAAACCAAAACCTGATGGAATGTGGGCATGACTCAGTCCCTCACCATCCAGAAGCGTCCCTCATGTCCATATGTTTGCTGCACATTAAAACAACCCCTTTCAGAAATATTCTGCAATGTTGCTATGATCTTCATGTTCTAGTGCAACAGGTTTATATGAGGTTTTTATGTGATTTCCTTGCAGTTGTTATACAGGGTGGGGCAAAAGTAGGTTTATAGCTATGATTACTCAACACAATTTATTCTTGTATTATTACTTATTAATTATTGCATTATTTTCAATACGACCAACTGAAAACCTACTTTTGCCCCACCCTGTATATGGCTTTGTAACTTTTTTCTAGTTTTTCATGTATACAGTTAGGTTTTTCAGCTAGGCTATAAGTTCCTTAGGGCAGAACACATATTTTCCATATGTCTGGTGTAACAGGCCTGGGTATACAGCAGGCAATTAATAATAGTTGTTAATTATCTAGAGATTCATGGAATGATCAGTACACATCATTTTCATTACCAGTGAAAGTAACAAAACAGATGGTGGAAGGAGGGGTGCTGGGCAGGGTTGATTTCTGGATTTTACCTACCATGCAGCATTTCAACAAGAGTGAGGCCGAAAGTCTGCTGCACTGTGCTGAGCCTCAGTTTGCCGTGGCAGAGAAGCACGTCTCTTTTTTCAACAACAGATTCTACAGAATAATGTTTCTTCAAATACAAAAAAAAAGTTGTTAAGCCAATTGCAGAAGCAATGGAGTTAACATTTCTTTAGAAAGTGTAAATAGTTTTTTAAAATCCTTATCTAGTACCACTATCAATTAGACTTCAGTTTTATATCAGGAGCTTTTTGCTCTATTATTTAACACAACTAAAGGGTCAGAACAAAACACAACCCCTAATTTACTTTTCCTAGAACTTTATCACTAGGAACTGGCTGTCCTAGGATCTGACTAATAACACTACAGATGATGGACGGCAGCCTAAGAGACACAATCTGATGGTGAGGAACAGGTGCCTGGCTATTTTAGGTATAACTCACAAAACTTAATGCTCTCTTTATTGGGGGGAAAAATGCCAAGAAAGACTGCCCTAAGGATTTGCACAAGTAAACAAACTGGTCAAAATTCACTTCCAAATAAAAATGACTATTAAATTTTAAAGTCTTATTAAACATTAATTCATCTTTAAAATTGGTTTCAAATATCCCTAGATAAAGAAAATATAAAATAATTACAGCTCTAATTTAAGATATATTAAGAGTCCAAAGGTATAATCATAAAATAAAAAATATAACTTCTAATTATGTTATTTGCAACAATAACTTCCTGTAAGCATTTGAAGAAGAGTTTTATTAGCAAGTTATGTATCTAACTTATTTTGTTGTTAAAATTATTACTACTCATTTTCTGACTACTGAGAAATATAATTTCAACGATGGAAGATAAACTGTACTACATTGGTGGAAGAATAAACAACTAAAAGAGCATGTCTACTATTAACATTTTAAATATTAATAAATTATAAAGGCCAGAAGCAACTAATCATTTATTTGAACTCTATAAAAAATGTCACTTTGGAAATTACAGGAGAAACTCTTCCTTGCTACTGATTATTTTGCCTTTTTTCTCTCACTTTTCTCATTACAAAAGGGATATATCCTCAATATAGAGTAAAACATAAATTTATAATGTGGAAAGTAAAGTCCCCTCCAGAGGTAATTATTGATAACAGCTTGGTTCAATCAGTTCATTATAAACTGTGAAACTGAAGAACTGAAAAGGCAAAATACCCCATATTTCTTTTACTCAAAATATACAGAATTTCACATTTACAAATGTTTACAAAAGAAAAAAATATGTTATTATTTGGTAGAAGAAATATAGACTTACTTAAAACTAACTCTGTGATTTTCTCTAAGGGTTCAATTATGAAGAATTTTTACTTTCAACATTAATTATTCCTATATTGATTACATTCCCTTTCTCCCCCCAGTGAACACATATTACTTTTGTAATTAGGAAAAAAAAAATACTGTGCAGATGTAGAAAAAGAAAAAAGCTCTATATGCTGATATGGAGAATTCTTTTTAAAAAAAAAATATTTTTATTGATTTCAGAGAGGATGGGAGAGGGAGAGAGAGATAGAAACAGCCATGATGAGAGAGAATCATGGATCAGCTGCCTCCTGCATGCCTCCTACTGGGGATCGAGCCCACAACCCAAGCATGTGCCCTTGACCGGAATTGAACCTAGGACCCTTCAGTCCACAGGCTGACACTCTATCCACTGAGCCAAACCGGCTAGGGCGATATGGAGAATTCTTGAGGATATATTATTAAATGGAAAAAGAAAGATTCAAAACACTGGATATAATGCCTTACACTTTGTGTAAAAGAGGAAATAAAAATATATAGTGTCCTGGACAGTTTGGCTCAGTGGATAGAGAGCGTCGGCCCACAGACTGAAAAAAAGGGTCCCAGGTTCAATTCTGGTCAGGGGCGTGTACCTTGGTTGCAGGCTCGATCCTCAGTGGGGGGCATGCAGGAGGCAGCTGATAGATGTTTCTCTCTCATCCATGTTTCTAACTCTATCCCTCTTCCCCTCCTCTCTGTAAGAAATCAATAAAATATATTTAAAAACATATATATAGTAATATCTGCTAGTATCTGCATAAATAAAAATAAAAATGTTAACTATAGGAGGTCAGGGAAACAGATTGCAGAGATGGGGTGAGAGTAAGACTTCCCAGTATATATCTATCTTTTTATTAAATTCTGTTTTCCTTTTTAAACAAGGTAAATGAATTAACTATTCAAAAAGAGGAAAAAGGGGGGATAAAAAAAGAAAAAGAAGGGAGGAGAATTTTTAAAAAGCGGAAGAAAAAATCCAATCTAAATCTCACATTTATAAATACTATTTAAAAACTAAAAAACTTTTTTACAGAAAACTTCAGATATTTATATAAAACCATTTAAATAACTATTTTAGCTAAAGACAATGTAACAAAAATTCTCTCAAAAATCTGGAATTGAGATGTCAAATGTTTATAAACATGTGTCTCAATGAGCTTTGGTACATGATATAACTAAGATTCTTAATGTGGTTGTGAAATTAATTTGAAAAACAATTAAATCAGTGATTTAAATTATTTTCAGCTAGTTTGTGATTTATCTGGTTTTAAGGAGAATTGGGGAAATCTGAATAAGGACTAGGTATTAAATGATAATAGTAACTATTGTTAATGTTATCACATGTGATCATGGGATTGTAGTTATTGAAGCAAATGTGTTTGTATTTTTCAGCATCCTGAAATACCTAAGTGAAAGACATATATTTACTTAAACTATTTTAGAAAACAACAAAAAAGCAATATGGCAAAATGTTAACTGTTATGTTTAGGAACTACAGGATTTCATTATGTAGTCTTCCTATGTGTTTACACTTTTTAAAATAAAGATGTGTTGAAATTTTCATAAAAAATGGAATTGTTTAAATTACTCTTTGGTTCTTTTAAAACTTACATCCCTGAGTTGGCCACCAAACAGCTTCTTGTTTTCAGAAAGGAAAAAAAATTAAAATATTACTCTTTGCCCATTATTTCAGTCATAATTTTACATATATTGATCATTGATTTCAATACCAATTTTCTGCAAGTATCTTTTTTTTAAAAATATATTTATTGATTTTTTACAGAGAGGAAGGGACAGGGATAGAGAATTAGAAACATCGATGAGAGAGAAACATCGATCAGCTGCCTTCTGCACACCCCCCACTGGGGATGTGCCCGAAACCAAGGTACATGCCCTTGACCAGAATCGAACCTGGGACCCCTGAGTCCACAGGCTGACGCTCTATCCACTGAGCCAAACCGGTTAGAGCTGCAAGTATCTTTTAAAACGAAGATATATGTCTACAGTAATCAAATCAGCGTGATATGGATAAAGTTCTAGGTAAAGAGATCCACCCTCCAACAGTTGCAGTACGGAGAATCTAGAATTAGATACCAGTACAGATAAGTTTATATGTGATAAATATGGTAGACTCAGTTCAGTGGGATAAAGGTGAATTTTTAGTAATGTTGCTGACACAACTGGCTATCTAACTCTCAGAAAATAGAAGTGGCCCATACACAAAAATTTAATTAAAGATTGAAAATGTAAATGTAGGCCCTGGCCAGGTAGTTCTGTTGGTTTGATACCGGGTCAGGGCACATACAAGAAGCAACCAATTAATGCATAAATAAGTGGAACAACAAATCAATGTTCCTCTCTCTCTCAAATCAATTAAAAAACACAAATGTAAAAAGCAAAATAAATACTGCAAGGGCCCTGGCTGGTTTGCTCAGTGGATAGAGCCTCAGCCCTTGGACTGAAGGGTCCTGGGTTCGATTCCAGTCAAGGGCATGTACCTCGGTTGCAGGCTCGATCCCCAGCCTTGGTCAGGGTTCATGTGGGAGGCAACCAATAGGTGTCTCTCTCTCACATGGGTATTTCTCTTTCTCTTTCTCTGTCTCTCCCTCTCCCTTCCATGCTCTCTAAAAATCAATGGAAAAATATCCTCAAGCGAGGATTAAATAAATAAATAAATAAATAAATAGGTAAATAAATAAATAAATAAATAAAGTATATTGCAAGAAAATCTAGACATTACATGCATATTAATTTATATAATATACAAAAACTTCTTGTAAACTGATAACTCAATAGTGAAAAAATGAGCAATAGGTAACTCATTCATTGGCCCCAGAACATGAAGACATATGTACTCAAATTCACTAATAGTAAAGAAAAAAAGAAATTAATAAAAGTGAAATACTATTTCACATTTATCATATTCATGAGGATGTGAGGAAAAGGTTGCTGGTGAGCATGTAATGACACATTGTTAAGTAAAAATCTTTGAAAGGCAATCTGGCAAATTTTTTTTTAAAGTAGAAACATATATTCAAATTGCATTCCTGCTTCTGGGAACCAACCCAATAGAAACAAAAGTAGGAAAACAAATGGATACATACAAGAATACTATTGCAGCACTAAGCAACTGAAAACAAAGTGAATGTCCATCAACAGGGAACGCCTGAATAAACAGCATACTCTCAGCATGAAGTAAAGAGTACACCATATACCCTATTTCTATAAAACAATAACCACCCCTGAACCTATATATCACTTGTACCTATGTATCTATTTATGCAAAGGACTGTGTAAGATTATGAGTATGAATTACACTATGGAAGGATCCACATTAAGCTGCTAGTTAAGTGGGGAGGAGCAGAGGTCAGTTCCATAGGGAAGGAAAGTGTTCATGATAAAGCAGTGGTTCTCAACCTTCTGGCCCTTTAAATACAGTTCCTCATGTGACCCAACCATAAAATTATTTTCGTTGCTACTTCATAACTGTAATGTTGCTACTGTTATGAATCATAATGTAAATATCTGATATGCAGGATGGTCTTAGGTGACCCCTGTGAAAGGGTCGTTCGACCGCCAAAGGGGTCGCGACCCACAGGCTGAGAACCGCTGTGATAAAGTGACAGGATGCTATTTATGTAATACTACGTTTGCATATGCATGCATAAATAGATGCATTGACATTTCTTATAAATGGAAGAGGGTCTGCACTGCATAAGAAAAAAGTTTCACAATGAAACAGCACAACTAAAAAAAATTTTTTTCTAAATATGAACTGATAGAATAAGTGCAATCATTCATGTTTTCACACCATGCACATGATAAAAATCAGTGTATCCTGGTATGTGTGTCCATGTGGTTGGCAGGCAACCAACCTGTAAAGGTGTAACAGCTTGCCTGTAACATAACATGCCAAGTTCAATTTAAACACTATCTTTTGCAACCATTTTTCTGGCAGTGACTACTGGCTGCAGGAGCTTATGTACAGTGGTAGCTCCTGAAGGAGGAATTACCTGGTAAGAGATGTGGACGTAAGGCAGATCCTCAGAGAGCGGATACACTGGAGAGGACTTCTTTCCATTACGTAGGAAGTCTGTGAGTTCAGAGAGACTTCGCTGTACTTCCATCAGTTTCCTAGATAAAATTTCCAGTTCCTTAGAGAGCTGACAAGCTTCCTTTTCCCGCTGTAAGTTCTTTCTTGGAGGGAGATTAAGAGGGCCCAGGGTGCTGGTGAAGTCTGGTGTGCTGCTGGTTTTGGGCAGCGTCGCTGACCCGTCAACGGGCTCGGCCTCTCGAGTTTCCAGGGCTATGGAGTCATCACACACACTGGATGGAGGGCGTTTGATTTCTTTAATAAAAGTACTTCCAGGCCTTCCACCTTGACTACTGCTATTAGCTGTTAACAAGAGTCCTCTGTTTTGGTGACAAATATCTGGGGAAAGACTCTCAATTGGCTTTTTCCTCTCTGCTTTATTTAACAGAGCACTGAGGGTAGTATAGCCACTCTGGTTTTCGCTCACTGTTACTGGAAACTCCTCTTTCAACGTTACTTCTCTAACAGTCAAGCGAATGACATACTCATCAGACTTTGAAGAAGGGAGAAATGTCGAATCAGTGGATTTTTGTTTTCCAATCAAAATTAATAATAATTTATCTGTCAAGAAACATATGCCTTTTGGTCTCTCACCACTCTCTAATTGAATTTGCTGGATGTTTGGCATAACCGCTGGAATGACAGAATAGATAAAAATTATATTACAAGTATTGGAAGCCACGGCTACCACCTTTGCTTTCGGATTAAATGCTATTAGATCAGGAACCAGAATGCCTGGAATGGTGACTTTTTTGGCCTGGGTCACCACTTGCGCAAAGGTCACAAGAATCAAATGTGAAGAATCCAGATCGGTTCCTGCCAAGTAATTCTTTTTTCTTAGACAAATGAGGGCATTGCTCTCAGACTTAGATCCATTGAAACGTATATGAGTTAGATCCAGAGGATCTGAACGGGAAGAAAAGGGAGACACTGATGTGTCGGAATTTGTTCCACAAGAGGCTGCCCCTTTATCCACAGAGGGCATCTCATCAGAAACTGGTGACGTATACAGACAAGTGTCTTCACTGCTGGGTGGAACGCCAAATGTCTCAGATGCATTTAAGCCACAAATCTTCCCTATTGGAAGTTCAGTGGCTAGGACGACCTGTGAGTCCACAGCGGCCCCGATGGAGCGCACGTCGCTGAGCACATCCAATACTGGGCAGAAGGAGCACCGCTGAAGAGTCTTCTGAGCACTGTCCCAAATGTAAGAATGTAGGCTGCTGCCTACGGCCACCACCAGCCGCTGGCCATCCTGGGTCCAGCACGCACAGTGAATAAGGCCCTGGGCGCTGCTGTCCGCTTTCACTCGGGAACCATCACAGTGCACGTTATGGGCAATGGAGACATCCCGTGCAGTCAGCACCGTCAGAACAGCACTTTGTGGGTGCCACACACAGCCTTGGGGAAGGACAGGGCGCGGTTCTCTAATCTCACAGGTCTGAGACAGCAGCGGCTTGCTTGTTTCCGTGGTATTGGGACACAGCTGCCACACAGTGACATGCTGCTTGTGCTGGACAGCGAGCAGAGGGGGCGTGTCCGCTATCCCAGGTGGGGCCCACGACACCCCATACACATGCTCAAATTGCCCAATGACCTTCGAGTCCCCAAACTTGGCCTCTCCACGCTGAAGCTGCACATCAGTCAGGACTACCTGCTTCCCATCGGTCCAGACAAGGCCGTGAATTGGGTGTATTGCTTGATACAATGCATTCAGCCCACTTCTGAGAAGTTTTCCTTTTCCCAACTCCATCCTTTCTGATAAAGGTCATCTGAAATAATTAACAAGAAAAGCTACATCCTGAGACCGTAATCAGAGAAATCCAGAATATAGGACATGTTTCAAGACAACTGGCTTAGACATTTCACAGGTCAGTACTGTGAGAGGATAAAAGGATAGGAGGAGTGTGGCAGGTTCACAGAGACCACTGAGCCAAAACAAACAAATGCAACATATAATCTTCGGATCTTAAATTGAGGAAATAAAGTTTTCTACCCCCCCCCAAAAAAACTGGGGAAATTAGAATATGGAATGGATATTAGATAACATTGTAGAGTTAATAATTTTCCTAAGTGTGACCATGGTACTGTGGTTATGTAGGAAAATGTCTTTATTGTTAAGATAATGTATGTTGAAGTATTTGGGATAAAGTGTCATAATGCCTACAACTTGCTTTCAAATGCTTTAGAAAACAAACAAACCCCCCCCCCCAAAATATATATCAAAAAAGTATGTGTGTATATACTTGGTATATATAGAGAGAGCGAGCAAACTAAAGCAAATGTAGCAAAATGTTAATAATTGCTGAATTCAGATTGAGACTATGTCAGTATTCATAGGATTTTGAACTTTCAAGCTAGAAAAGTTTCAAATTAAAAAGTTGAGAAAAGTCTCCATCATCATCTAATTTCTATTCTCCTTTCACTGCCAATTCAATAAATGATATTCACGACTCAATGGCCTTTACCTCTATACTGAAATGACACTCAAAAGTCACTATTGCTCTTTCTACTTCATCATTTTCAAATAGCACTTAATTTTCAGAATAGTTTCACATTCCCGATTGCATTTGCTCCTTGCAACAATCCTTCACAATAATGTAAACTAGGCTAGGCAAGTATTACTTTCAAATTTTTCATTCTTAAGGTTTCCCCCCCAGACATTTAGATGACTAAAGTACATGCTCACTGCTATGAAATTCAAACAAACCAGAGGTGTCTAAAGTAAAACAAAATGTTTCCTCCAATTCCTCTTGAACACTGCCACCACCCCATCCCCCAAATCTTAAGTCCTTGAAAAAAAGCACTGTTAACAATTTGGTGTATAGCCTTTGAATCTGTTAAAGAAATATATGTATATTTCTTTATACATATATACGATTTTTTTAAAAATATATTTTATTGATTTTTTACAGAGGGGAAGGGAGAGAGATAGAGAGTCAGAAACATCGATGAGAGAGAAACATCGATCAGCCGCCTCCTGCACATCCCCCACCAGGGATGTGCCCGCAACCCAGGTACATGCCCTTGACCGGAATCGAACCTGGGACCTTTCAGTCCGCAGGCCGACGCTCTATCCACTGAGCCAAACCGGTTTCGGCCATATATACGATTTTATATGTGCTACATTTTTAAAATCCTCACTGGAGAATACGATTATTAATTTTTTAGAGAGAGGGGAAGGACAGGGAGAGGAAGAGAGAGGGAGTGGAGGAGAGAGGGAGAGAGAAACATTTATGTGAGAGGAACATCCATTGGTTGCCTTCTGTACCCGCAACCTAGGTATGTACAACCTTTTGGTGCATGAGACCAGTCCAACCAAATGAGCCACACTGTCCAGGACTAAATTTTTTCTTTTGGACAAAAATGGGGTATAAGTCAGAGTTCCCGGGTATTAACAACAGAAACCACTCTGGTTAACTTAAGCAAAATAAAATAAAATAATAATAATAATAAGCTCAAGAACCAGGCTCAGAAAACAGGCTGGTGGGCACGATAAACCACGGCTGCCCCTCCCTCTAGTCAGCTGAGACTCTAACTTCTCAGCAGCTGAGAATCAGCTTCACTGCCCGTTCACCGGATGGCAATTGCTTAACATTCAGAACTCCCGTAGGCTGCGCTCAGTTCACAGACCCTTTGCTCTAGCAACCAGGAGGGGGAGAGAGTCTCCCCACAAAAAGCCAAGAGGCCAAAAGTTGAAATGACCTTCAGGAGGCCTCCAATTATTTGGTATTTTGTAAAATATTTACACTCCCCCCCCTCCCCCCCACCAAGGCGCGTGGTCTTTGCCTTTCTCTCTCCTAAGCTCCAAGGGCCCTTCTCTTTTGCCTCTATAACTTGTCTCCTGAGCCCAGGCAGCCCAGCTGGCTCACCTTTTTATACCTGTTACTTTCTAAACAAACTGTCGCTTGTGTTTGGGGGAAAAAAGAATTAACACACAAGAAAGGTATATTCACACACAAAGAAAATTATGATTACACACCTCCAGACTTTACCATGCAGTTTTGGTTAAACTTTTTCAATCACACCGTGCAATTTTGTATCGCATTGTTGTTGTTTTTTTTCACTTAACATTATATATTAGCATCTTCCCATATTATTTAAAAGTTTTGTAAATTATCTTTATAGGCCACTTAATATTCACTCGGTGAAGGTGCATAATTTCCCTCACTGCGAGACACCGGATGTAGCCCACTTGAGCCTATCATAAATGACGCTTTATAAAGATCTTTATGCATAAAGCATTTTCTTCTTTTGGATGGTCACTTTAGGATATATTCCCTGAAATGTCACTCACGAGTCACGGGGAATATATTCACGCCTTTGGACGCACCCGCGGCTCCTCCGCATCCACTAACCCCCGCACGCCGGCCCCCACCGTTCTGCCCATCCTGCCCGCACGCCTGAGTGTCTTTCACCGTCTCCCACGGGCCAGCCCCTCCACCATCCACCCCGCCCACCCACAGGCTCCCCACACCCTCCAGGCTGGGCAACAGCGGACACAAAGCACCTTTGGACTCACTGCCCCGCAGTAAACCAGCTTCCCCGGAGCCGCCCCAACTCACCCAACGCGGTTCCAAAGTCCGCAGCGGGTACCGGAAGCATCGACTCCAAGGCCTCTGATAGGTGAGATGGTCGGGGAAAGCTCGGGAACGCCGCCAGCCTATTGGTTTTTATGTGTGTCGCGTTAGGAGAGGGTCTTTTCCACTGACCAATGAGCTCGGGCTTTGCCGCAGAGATCTCTGGGAGTTGTAGTCCAGGTGAAACTCCCGACTGTAAACCTCACGCAATTTCTCTTAAGAGGTTTAACGCCTTTCCCCACTTCTTATCGGTTCTCTTAGTCTAAGGAGTCCAGGGGCCCTAAAGTCAAGACGGTTTCTTAAGTTTTTTGGGGGATGTAGAGAGTCAGGGATGGGAAGGGGTTAAGGACCTATTTAAACTACAAAATTTCCTCAGAAAAATGTTGCGGGGGTTTGTTTTTCTTAAAAAATGTTTTTATCTGTACAGAAAATATTGTGCATTCCATTGAAGCCACTCCACTGACCTGTTCCAGTTACACACCCCTGTTCTATACGCACCCCAAAGTGTTGGCCCATGGCCATAGCCCATGGACTAATGTGTCACTAGGCTTCTTTGGACCGAGTTACACCCCTGGGAGAATGTGGGCCACACCTTGGAGCAGCCCGTGGGGGTTTCAGATCCTGAGCCTCACAGAACAGTTGATCCTCATCTTTCTTGGACAACACAGCCAACCCTCTTTCAAAGACGCCGATAGCCTGCCGGCTCCTCCGTAACCCCCGGGAGGATGGGGAAGAACACCGCCAGGGCCTCTCCGCACACCCTTGCTCAGGCTCTTCTCCCCAGGCCGACCTTGCAGCGCCACGTGTTAGAATCATACCTTCACATCATTGTTGGAACAATGTAGCCAAGAGTTAGAAACAAAAAAAAAATTTTTTTAAAAAATATTTTATTGATTTTTTACTGAGAGGAAGGGAGAGGGATAGAGAGTTAGAAACATCGATGAGAGAGAAACACCGATCAGCTGCCTCCTGCACACTCCCTACTGGGGATGTGCCCACAACCCAGGTACATGCACACCTCCTACTGGGGATGTGCCCACAACCCAGGTACATGCACACCTCCTACTGGGGATGTGCCTGCAACCAAGGTACATGCACACCTCCTACTGGGGATGTGCCTGCAACCAAGGTACATGCACACCTCCTACTGGGGATGTGCCCGCAACCAAGGTACATGCCCTTGACCGGAATCGAACCCGGGACCCTTGAGTCCGCAGGCCGACGCTCTATCCACTGAGCCAAACCGGTCAGGGCTAGAAACAAAAAATTTAAAGTCCCATTCCTTCTTTGAGCAAATGCTACTTCTTCCAAAAGTCTCGATAGACTCCTGGACCTCTTTTGGGTGGAGGAGGAACACAGGGTCGAACTCATTCATTCATCCCCCCCAGCGCGGATCGCTCCACGCTGTACGCGTCCCTACCCATCCCAGTTTTAGTTCCTCCAGGACAGCGATTGTCTTCATGCAAATGGTTTCCTGGGATGCAGTTCTTTGGCTTGAAAGGTGGGAATCCACCTGTGCGTGGGGCAGAGCTGCCTGGGATAGTGAGTAGGAACTTAGAGTGGGTGGAGAAGGGTGGGCAATGAGCCTTCCTCCCTCTCACCCCACCCCACACTCGAGCTTGCGCGTGCAGAGCCAGGCAGCCCAGCTGGGGCAGGTCCCTCTCTGGTGCTTCCAAACGTTCTGAACCCCACGTCAGTGAGTCCCACTAGTTAGACTTGGTTTCGTTGCTGGGCCTTCCCCTAGTGTGTGGGGGCAAGTAGATTCCCCAAGAGATAATTCTGGGGTTTGAAGGGATGGATGAAGGGATGGGATATGCAGGTGAGCGGTGGATGCGGGAAGCCTGCGTGCCTCCCGCAGCATCCTTCCCGTCTGCGGGTCCGTGCTCCTTCGCCTGGCTTGGGCTCCAGAGCCGCGGGTCAGGGTCGCCCCGCCCGGCCGACCCACCTTTCTCGCGGCCCTTCCGTGGCCCCTCCCGGGCAGGTCCCGATTCGCAGACCTTCTCGGGTCTGCAGTTGCGGCGGAGAGGCGAGTCGGACGCCAGCGGGATCGGAACCGGAGCCGAACCGGGGTCGGGGCAGCAGCGGGGACCCTCGGAGCGGGGCAGTGGGACCGCGATGGGGTGGAGATCGAGACCATCTCCCCGGAGGCGGTACCGGGCGCGGAGCAGGGGAGAGCACGGGTCCCGGCGGAGCCGGGCGGCGGGGGTCTGATTCGGAGGCGGGTGGAGGGCGCCGGAACGGGGGAGGGCCTTAGATGGGGGCCACCGGAGGAGACCCCGGCGGGATCGTGGGAAGCTTCAGAGCCGGTCCTTGCTGTCCTCTGCGCCGGCTCGCCCGGGGGAGCGCAGGCGGCGGCGGGAGGCGGGGGTCGGCAGCCGCCACCGCCCGGAGGCCGCAACCCCCCGCGCCGCGGCGGGAACGCTGGGTTATCCGCTGCCGCTGATTTCCCGGGGCCAGGTGTCAGCCCCGCTGCTCCTTCCCTGCGGGGCGAGCTCTGGAAACGGGGAAGGACAGGCTGTGGGGTCTCTGCCGGGGCAACTCCCTTCTAACGCGCCCCGTGCCCGGCCTGCGGTCGGTCGGCCGGCGGCCCCCTGCGGGCTGGGCGGCGCGGCGCGGTGGGGACCCGGCCCGGCTGGAAAGGGAGCTGCCCTCCCCGCCCCTGCATCTCGCTGCGTCCTCCCCGCCCCACCCCGCCTCTCCGCCAGCCTGTCCGCTCCCGCGACTCTCAGTCGCGGCTGCAGACCGATGGCCTTCAGATGGAAGGCTCCAGCCCGGACCCCGACCCGAGTCCCCGGGGGTCCATGGACCCAGCTGCGGCTAAGCCTCTACCTGGAGGCCCCATCGGTACCTCTCAGTCCGCAGGTCCAAAACAGAACTCGCTCTCCTCCGTGTTCCTTGTTCTCCGCCTCTGGGATTAGCGCTGCCGGGCGGCACCCTCGCACAACTGGGTCTGCATGTGCCAGGAACAGCGGGCTATCCCTTTATTTTTTCACCAAAACTTAATTCAGACCGGAGCCCCCATGTCCGCAGGTTTTGACAGGCAAGGACACCCACCCCAGAGACCGGAGGGCCCTGTGGAAGGCGGGGGTCCCTAAAGTCCCAGCTCTACCCAGGATCACGGGCGGGGACAGCTCCCCCACAAGGGAACCTGGGTGCTGCCTCCAGGAAGCATGTCCCTGAGGCCTGGTGGCCTCCAGGCAGCCACACAGCTCTGCTGGGGACTGGACACCTCGCCTCCCTTCCCAGGCTCCGGGAGTTTCCTCTCCTTACCCGCCCTCTCTGGCCAGGGACAGGAGCATTTTCTCTTGAGGAGGATGAGAGTTTTAGGAAAGCCTGGAGCTCTGGCTTCCTGCTCTCAGCCTGTTTTAAACCCTGAGTCGTCCTAGCCCATCTGACTCAGTGGATAGAACATTGGCCTGCGGTCGGAAGGAAGGGTCCTGGGTTCGACTCTGGTCAAGGGCATGTACCTCGGTTGCAGTCTCGATCCCCAGCCCTGGTCAGGGTGTGTGCAGCAGGCAACCATGTCTCTCTCTCTCTCTCTCTCTCTCTCTCTCCCTCTCTCTCTCTCTCTTTCTCTCTTCCCCTTCCTTCCACCTCATCTAAGCACCAATTGGGGGGAAAGGGGAGGGAATCAAATAAATGGGGAAAACCTCTGGTGAGGATTAACAACAACAAAAAATAAATGAAACCCTGGGTCAAGGAAGCACAAAAGGGCCCGCCAACCACGCTGTGTGTAACCCAGCAGGGGAATATGCAAATTCATATTTCAACACGTATGCCCACGCAGTGCTGGGATGCCTGTCTTGATGAAGCCTCACACCAAGTTCTCTCAGTTCCTTCTGCTGAGTATCTCCAGGCTCTGTCCCCCGCCCCCACCCCTTGGTTCAGGCCTCCGTCATCGCTCACCTGGATTTCTGCACAGCCTCCAAGTTGCTGCTCCTCCCACCTCCAGGCCCACTTCCCTGCCTTCCATCTGGCCTCCCGCCTCACTCCGACTCCTTTTCTACAACACAGCCTTTTTGACCATGTCCCTCCCCACGCATAAAATATTTTAGCGAAACTTCCATCTCCTTCTCCAGGCAGATGGTGAGATCACCTATTCTTTTTCTTTTTTAAAAAATATTTCCTTTTTCTTTTTTAAACCTTCATTGGAGATATGTTTATTGATTTTGAGAGAGAGAGGAAGGGAGAGAGGGAGAGAGAAACATCAATGTGAGAGAGAAACATTGATCGGTTGCCTCTCATACGTGCCCGGATGGGAGATCGAACCCGCAACCTTTCGGTGCACAAGGCGACGTTCCAACCAACTGAGCCATCGGCCAGGGCGAGATAACCTATTCTTACCGTCCATAGTAGACTATAGTCTCTCATTACCAGTCCCTACCCCACTACCAATTTTTTCTCCAGTTTTAGCAAGCTGCCTGGAAGTTGTTAAACACACACCAGTTATTCAGCAAATATTTGTTGAATATGGACTGTGTGCTGGGCCCTAGGGTTACAGCAGTGAACCAGACAGGACTCCCACGATGCTGGACTCTACGCCTTTGAGCATGTGGTTCACTCTTCCCAGATGATCTTCCTTTATTTCCTCTGGCAAACTACCCATCTCTTAAGATCCCAGTTTAACCATTATCTTCTCCCAGATGCTTTCCCTGACACCCAGTCAGTTGCTCCCCGCTGTGGGTTCCCATAGAGTCCTCTAGGTGTTGGCTCAGTCATTAGCCCTCCCAAGGCATTGTTATCCAGCCTCCTGGCTTTACATTCCACCCAAATTGATACCTCCAGTGCAGACTCTCCATCTGCCTACTTGCAATATAAACTAAGATGTCTAATAGGCATCTCAAGATTGCCACCCGCATACCTGGGTTGCGGGCTTGGTCCCGGGTGGGAAAGCAGCTGATCAATGATTCTCTCTCATCACTGATGTTTCTATCTCTCTCTCCCTCTCCCTTTCTCTCCAAAATCAATAAAAAATATATTTAAAAAAAAAGATTGCTACCTGCATAAATCTGTCCTCCCCAGTCTTCCCCATCTCAGGAATTTATCTACCACACATCCAGCTGCCCAAACTGGAAACCCAAACATTGTGCTTGACTTCTCCTTCTCCCTCATCCTAGACCCCATCTCCACTACCTGTTAGCTCCACTTCCAGAATATATCTCCTATCTCTTTGGCTCTCTTCTGTGCTGCCACCACATTAATTCAAGCCATCATTGATTTCCTGTCTGGATTACTGCAACAGGCGCCTGACCGTCTATCCTACACACAGCAGCCAGAGTGATCTTATAAAATCTTAATTCAGATTATGTCATTCTTGCTTACAGCCCTCCCGTGGCTTTCTGTTGGACTTAGAATTAAACCCAGCTCTGCAAGCCCTGGCACGGCCCGGCTCCTTCCCACTCATCTCGTCCTCCCGCCCTTCTTTCCAGTTCCTGGCCTCCTTTCTATTCTGCAAATGCACCGGTCCTTTCCTGCCTCTGGCTGGTGCACTTACTGATCCTTCTTCCGCCATGGTTTTCCAGCATTTGCTCATCCTCAAGTCTCAGCTCTGAGAGGCCATCCTGGACCACCCTTTCTAACATGGCCTGCCCACTGTCTCTCTCTTTAATTCATCTTTAGAGAACTTATCACAATCTGTAATTATCTTGTTTATTTGAGGATTATTAGTCCCCCTCCAAAAAGAGTGGGGATCTTGCCTATGTGGTTTACTGCTGTATCCCCCAAATCAGGTCCTGGCATTTGATAAATATTTGTGAATGATTGTGTTTATTCATCTTTGATCACAGTCATCACCCTGCCTCAGAATCTACTTATTTATGTGTCTGTTTCCCTAACTTCATCATAAGTTCATACATTGCTCTGTTTCTGGAATCTAATCCATGCCTGGAACATAGTAGGGGGTCAGTGAAGGCCTGTGGAATAGATGAGGGAAAGTAAAAGCAATCAAAGTGAGGAAAAGACCAGGAGAGAGTGGAGTTAAGGAACCCAAGGAAATCAAGTTCCAATCAAGGCCAGAGAGGTGATGTGGTTAATCTGGCTTATACAAGGCACAGAGCCAGAACTAGGGCCAGGGTCATCTTCCTGGTATGGACATTCACACCCAAATGTCCCAGGTGAATTTTTCTATCTTATTTGTTCATCTGCCCTCATGTCTCCTTGCAGGAAGGACATTCCCCAAGAAGGGCCAGACGTGTGTGGTGCACTACACAGGTAGGCCTTGCTCCTCTAGCCCTCATCACACTGCCCTTCCCAAGGTAGGTCTCTCCTCTAACACTCCTCTCCAGAAACATCTGCTCCCCTGAATCAGGCCCAAAGCCCGCTATTCCCTACTTCTCCCAGCCAGCCTTGTGGGAATGAGGAAGGGGGCTTGCAAGATTAACCCCTCCCCACTTATACCAGCAAGTCATCCATGGTTCCTCGCCTCTGTGTGGGCAGAGTGGACCCCTGGCCCTCCTGGTTCTGTTTGATATCTGGAAATCCCTTTGTACAGCTCCGAGAGCCCTGACCATCCCTGCAGACTCCCTTTGCATCATATGGTGTTATTAGAGGAGGGTGGCTTCCTCAGGACTTTTTTTTTTTTTTAAGAAAGTCTATTCAATTCAGCCTACTGTTATTGAGCACCTACTGTGTGCAAAATGCTGTGTTGGGCACTGGGGCTGTGGGGGGTGGGGAGTGGGAGAGGGCAGACAAGTCATGCAAGGCCCTGGTGCCGTGTAAGGGGTGGGATGACAGCATTGCTGTGGGAGCCAGGGGAGGGGCTGCGTCTCTGCTGACCTCTCTGGGATGGTCTGTATTGGAAGGGCAGGTGGGCTGTGAACATTCTAGATGGAGTTCCTGAAGACTGCTGGCAGGAAGATCACAAGCAGGTGTTTGTTCCAAGGCAGCGGGGAGGGGGAGTGCTCTGCTATGTGACCTGCTTCTCAATGGGGCAAACCTGATGACAGCCACCTAGCAGACAACAAGGCCAGTTTAATTCCTAAGATGTATGGAAATGGGGCCATTTTTTAGCAGTTCTCTGGGCCAGTGTGAAGTGCAGGTTAATTCTAGACAGATACTGGGGGTATTTTTCTCAACTGCTGTGTTGCTGGTCGCTGACGTCAGTGGCTGGAGCTGTGTTTTATCTCCCAGGGATGTGGCCTAATTACCGTGAGTCTTCTGGGGCCTCTGACCCGTGTAATCGATTTATCTGTCCTACATGTTGCAGACAGATCTGTACTTATCAAATTACTGAAACCACAACATCTTTTTGCAAAGACTTTTCACAATACACACAGAGAGCAGGCAGCATGCATTAAACACTAACGTCAGCTAGGAGTGGCTCTGGCTTGAGGAGGGACTATCTCATCACGGTAGATGATGTGGGACTTTATCGTAAATATTTTTTATTAAATATAAATACAGTAGAGAACATAAATCTAAAATGTACAGCTCCATGAAATTTTTCGAAATGATCACACTCAGGTAACCACCACACAGATCAACATATGCATTTCCTGCACCCCCCGGAGTCTCCCTTCTGTCTCCTCCCAGTTATCACACCTCCCTGAAGACAGTGTCCTGACTTTTGTTCGCATGGATTGGTTTTGCCTGTTTTTGAATGTCATATAAATGGAATCAGAGTTTATTCTTGTTATAATCCTCACCCAAGGATATGTTTATTTTTAGAGAGAGAAACATTGATAGGTAGCTTCCCATCTGCGGCCCACCAGGGATGGTATCTGCAATCTATGGTGTATGGGACCACACTCCAACAAACGGAGCTACCTGGCCAGGGCTAGAGTGTGTACTCTTTTATGTTTGGCTTATTTACTCAATATTATGTCTGTGAGATTTATGCAGAATGGTTGTTCTTTTCTATTTTTGTACCATTCCTTGCCTCTGTGTTCATTATATGAATACTAGAGGCCGGGTGCACTGCTGTGGAGGCGGGAGAGGCTCCTGCCACCGCTGTGCTCGCCAGCCGTGAGCCCAGCTTCTGGCTCCACAGGGGGAGTGCACTGACCACCAGGGGACAGCTCCTGCATTGAGCGTCTGCCCCCTGGTGGTCAGTGCACAGAACAGCGACCGGTGGTTCCACCATTTGGTCGATTTGCATATTAGCTTTTTATTCTATAGGATTATATAGGCTACTGTACATTATCCTTTCTATAGTTGATGGCCATTTGGGTTGTTTATAGTTTTGGGTTATCATGAACAGTTTTGCTTTGAATAGCCTTGTAAGATTTCTTTTGATCCACATCTGTACCCATATTGGCTGGCTATATACCCAGAAGTAGAATCGCTAGGGCATAGGGTTATGCCTGCTCAGCTTCACCAGATACTGCAAATAGCTTTCCAAAGTAGTTGTGCCAATTTCCACTTCCACCTGCAATGTTTGAGAGTGCCAGTTCTCCTGCATCCTCATCAACACTTGATTTTATCAAGTTTTGTTTTGTTTCTGGACCACTCTGGGTGCCCAGTGGTATCTCATTGTGAGTTTGAGTTCCATTTCCTAAAGACTCATGAAGTTGTGCCCTAACTGGTTTGGCTCAGTGGATAGAGCGTCGGCCTGTGGACTGAAGGGTCCCAGGTTCGATTCTGGTCAAGGGTATGTACCTTGGTTGTAGGCACATCCCCAGTAGGGGGTGTGCAGGAGGCAGCTGATCAATGTTTCTCTCTCATCGATGTTTCTAACTCTCTATCCCTCTCCCTTCCTCTCTGTAAAAAATCAAAATATATTTTTAAAAAAAGGCTCATGAAGTTGAGTACCTTTTCATGTACTTATTGGCCATTTGGATATCCTCTTGCCTGCTTAAATTCTGACCATTAAAAAACATTAGATTGTCTTTTGATTTATGAAGTTCTTTATTCTAGATGAGTCTTTTGTTGGTTATACCATTTCAAACATCTCCCATGCTATGGCATGCCTTCTTATTGTTGTCATATTTTTAACAGAAGGTTTAAGTGCAGAGGTATTTGAGAAAGGTGTGACCTGAATAGGACATGGCGGGGAAAGGGAAGTGGAGAGCAGAGAGAGGGTTATCAGGCAGGTAACAGCCAGATCCTGAAGTACGAATGGAGCAAAGACCCGTCGGTTATTCCTATACACAAGTGAGACAGGATGGAGACTCAGCGAGGCCCCAGGATGGTAATAGAAATGGAGAAAATAGGTGATTCCAAAGATAGGAAGGACTTGTTGATATGCTGTGTATGGGATAAGGCAGAGGGAAGAGTCCATGTTTCTTGTTTGGACAACAGGACCGATGGGGAAGATTGGAAGAGGTTAGTGCAGAATAGGAATTCCATTTTAGATGCGTTGAGCCTGAATTGGCAACTGACTCATGACCACAGCTCTTTCCCACCTTATTCTTGTTTTCACAGGAATGCTCCAAAATGGAAAGAAATTTGATTCATCCAGAGACAGAAACAAACCTTTCAAGTTCAGAATTGGCAAACAAGAAGTCATCAAGGGTTTTGAAGAGGGTGCAGCCCAGGTAGGATGAAGATCCTTCTAATGGGGGATTTGAGGAGTCGGGATCTGAGCTCAACACTAACCCCACCTTATCACAGACCACTACTGCACACCATCTAGTTTCAGTCCTGGCTTTGTCCCCACCCTTTTTGTTGCCAGCATGACTCTTTTGTGTCACTGGGGGC